ACCGAGAGACTGTTGTCAATCAATCAATACAGACTATATGTAGGTGGACAATGACGTTTAGACTTTATAGTGACGCGCATCGTATGTCGCAACCGCGCTCCAATGCTACAGGAGTTAATGCAAATGCGGAAATAGACGAGTATCGATCGGCGGAGTACAGAAGAATACGATGGTATTAGACTGTGTACATATTAGACAAAGCGTACCCTCACATTTTCCCAACTTCTTTTAAACTGAAGCGGCGCCGATCGATACCCGCCTAGGGCTGCGTTCCAGTCTATAGCATTGGAGAGCGGTTGCAATGGTAGCGCGGCGCTATTCGTCGACGCGCGTCATCGCGAAGTCTGAACACTGCCGAAGGATGGCTAAACCACGCCATATGCGCCCGTCTGCACCCTCTCACCGAGATAACATTACGTGGCTTGGTCGCATCATTACATTACTCGGTGAACCCTCGCTGTTTCTATGAAAACATCAAATTCCTATCGAAATAAATTATTTATACAGCAAGATCTGCTTTACATTGGTAAAAATCGCATAGTACGTATGTACATAGATCACCTAGTAGTGAAGTGACTAAGAAAATTGTTCACAGATTGAAATGATGCGCGGAGAATCTTGTCAGTCAAGCCGAAATAACAAACTGAACGAAGATCTAGTAAAAGGAAACATTGTAAGTATATAACGGTGGTAATGAATCACCTTAGTAATTTTGAGCATGGTGTTGCACGGCGTTCCATTCTGGTTGCACTTGGGGTTGCTGGTATCCTGCTTGTGGTGGTACTGCAGCGTATGCGTAAGCTGCTTGAGCGTCTGGTCGTGACTGGACATTGGGTAACGGCTGAGCTTGAGCAGGACCGTTGGCGTAAGGTGCTTGATAGACAGGCTGGACTTGTGATGAGTTTGGAGGGTAGTTCACCGCTGCCTAAAAACAATTGAACTGTTAGGTAGTGTTCAGACTTTTCGATGACGCGCGTCTTACGCCTGCGCTCCAGTATTATAGACGCGAATGCTGTCGCAGAAGGGACCGGCCCGGCCGCTTATTTTGCACGAATTAGAGGAGGATAGACGCTGCCTCACACAATCTGGTTAGCTCTCTCTCATTTTTCGATACTCTTCGCAAAGCTCTAGCGAATCGTACTTGAATCGATACGAGACTACGATTAGCAACGCGTAGCCCTTCTGAACTCCCGTACTCCTTCAAAACACACGGTGTTATTTATAAATACCACCAATCACGCCGTGCAATTGCGTACTCACTGCGCTACCGTAATACACCCTTAAATTCACAGCTGCGGCGGCTGCTGCGCCAACTGTAACTTGCGATCCGCAACCTAGGCTCATGTCTCTTTTAAGAGGAGGAACTATGCATTGCAAGCCCCCAGGATCCTACAAATGCAAAATCACTCGTATGGTATGACCCGCTACAGAAAGAAGTGTTCATACGGCCTCGGTCCTTGGATAACGCGAGGAATTTTCGGTAGAAGCGAATTTTTGATTTTTCATGGACATGGGTTGGTTCAAACATAACTTAGACCGCAGAACTAGACGAACTTGAAAATAGAAATTTTCCTCTTCCTAATGAGTACAATATGTATTTTGGGCCTACTATATCAAAAATCACTCGACGCGGATTTGATCCGAGGGTTTACTATAGCTGCAACAAGAAAGTCTCTCGATTACATAAGCCACACTCCCATCCAGAAACCCCAGAAGGACTTCAGTGCATCTCTTCCGCTTAATATGAATAAAACTTGAAGCACAGGAGCGCTGTCAAACCGTTCTATGTAACGCGCGACTTGTATTCGTCTTCAATTCAGAACGCAGAGACATAGAAATATGAACCTGTGGACAAGCTTTAGGAAGGACAACCCTATCCTACAACTAATGGTTCCCTTATCATACTCATTGTCAGACTAACCTCACTTTCTGCTGTGTGGTAGTTTCATTTTCACTACATCAATTTATCATGAATTTGCAGAGAGGCGGAGTTACGGCACTCCACGGCGAGACACGGGAACGAGGCAGTGCTTCACTTATTTGCCACAGCTTTTCGCAGTAGTGACACCTGCACTTACGACCCCATCCCATCTACTACCTGCATGCAACATACGACCCCTTCGTCGCGCGTTCCGCGGAGCACTGACCCTGACTCCCCACCCCTGCCTCCCCTTCAGTCACGTTTGCACTTGATAGACATTTTGACCTTAAGCACGCTATAACAACCAGGAGTCTCGGTTTGACTTGAGGAGTGCATCCTCTACTAGCAAAGGGTCTGGAGTAAAAGCGCCAGTGATTAAGCCAATTAAAAACAAGCTTGAAAACAAAATTGAATCTTCACTATCTCCTTCGGCACAATCACAGCCATCTTATTTGCCTTTGCTTAATTACGATTAGCGAAGTATCCACACCGTAAACATGAATCAGACGTGGATACGGTAGCGGCAATGAGTACGCAATTGCACGGCGTGATTGGTGGTATTTATAAATAACATCCTTAGCAATTTCGTGACACCGGGTAATCGCTACACCAATTATGTGAAAAGGTGGTGGCGCCAAATGGCGCCAGCGCTAGAAACGAAAGCGATGTCCGTCATCAAGGCATCAAATTAGCCAAATTAGCAGGTTTCAACGAGAAAAACTTTTTTTTTCGGTAGTAGCAGATGAAGAGTATCGCATCCCCATGCATATCCATGACCAAGGCAT